CTGAATTTTATCATGTGACCATAGGAATGCTACAATAGTATTACGTGTGAAAAGCAGTCATAAATCACTTTTTTCAGTGTCATTGTAACTTTGAACAATCACTAACCAAATTTAATATAAGTCGAGAACAACCTGTAATATGGGATTCTCTTGATTGGCAAATTGCAACATTCCAGATCAGAGGTGGGTTCCTATTGGTTCAGATCGGTTCAGCCAAACCGGTAGTAACGTGGTGGCCTGGGTCGCTGGAACCGGCAGTGACCCAGGCCTGCCACGCCCCCGAACCAGTTCTCCCGGCAGCACCGTAGGCACCACCATCTTGGGTTTTGTTTTAGTTCTGTGCATGCACACGCAGAACCCATCAAGTGTGTGTGGCGCACACTGCGCAACCATGAACGAACAGGCAGTAGCATCTGCTGGAACCCACCCCTGTGGCAGATGCTTTGTTGACCACATGAACAAGATGATGGAACTACAGCAATTAGACAAGGGCTCCCCAAACGTGGCAACTTTAAGACTTGTGGATGCCAACTCCCAGAATTCCTCAGCCAGCCGTGCCAGACCTGAATTATTCCTTCAAAACAGGTGTTTTTCCAAATACAACGTCAGTAAGAACATGACTGGGAAACTATATAAATTAATTCTGGGGTGATTGCTCCCAAGAAATGCAGAGTTTTTTGTTGAAACCTTCAGCTCAATATCCAGATTGCCATTTCTTTTCTATTTTGGTGCTGTTTAACAAATTAATAGAGTTGGATGGGACCTTGTAGGTCATTTAGTCCAGCCTCCTGCCTGAACACCATCTATGGAGATTCTCGGTCATCCAGGTCATGGTTGTCCCAAAGGTGCTTTTTCAAAAGGCAACTGGACTTCCTTTGTTTTTCCTAGAACTTCCTTGTTTTCCCTTAAAACCTGGCTGTTCCGACAGGCCTGGGGCTGAAGACTTACAGCCCTACTCCGAATGGTATGATTGTTGTGTTTTTAGCTTTGTATGGTCTCTATGTCCTGTAACTCGTTTGTTCCCCCCCCCCTTTGAATTGTGAGCCGCCCTGAGTCCCCTCAGCGAAAAGTGCGGCATACAAATAAACTAAATTCAAATTCAAATTCAAAGATGTTTCGTTTCTCACCCAAGAAGCTTCTTCGGTTCTGATGGAATGGTGGGGAATGGAAGGATTTATATGACTGCAAGGAATGCAACTCATAGCACAAAACACCAGAGTGCACCAGATAGAGGGGCGAGAAAGCAAATATGCCTACCATCAATACCTGGACAGTGGAAATATATTTACACTCGCCAAGATTTTTATCACTGTCTGATTCTTACTTCTTATGCTTAAACATACAAGTAAGTCTCAACACAACAATTGGTTTCTGTTCAAAGTTACAGAGAGGCTGAAAAAAAGATGACCAATCCTCATACTTTTGACTGTAGCAATGTCCTCATGGTCATGTGATCAAAATTTGGGTTCTTGGTCACCGGCATGTATTTAGGACAGCTGCAGCATCCTTGGTCTTAAAATTACTTAAAATAACAGAGTTGGAAGAGGCCTTGTAGTTCATCTAGTCCAAAGACCTGCTCAAGCAGGAGACCCTACACCATTTCTGACAGATGGCAGTCCTGTCTCTTCTTGAAGCTTCCAGGGATGAAGCTCCCACCACTTCTGAAGGCAACTTCTGTTCCATGGGTTGATTGCTCTCACTGTCAGAAAATTTCTCCTTATTTCCAGGTTGAATCTCTCTCCTTGTTCAGTTTGCATCCATTATTCCTTGTCTGGCCTTCAGGTGCTTTGGAGAATATCTTGACCCCCTCCTCTCTGTGGCAGCCCCTTAAATATTGAAAGACTGCTATCACGTCTCCCCTGGTCCTTCTCTTCACTAGACTAGCCATGCCCAGTTCCTGCAACTGTTCATCATATGTTTTAGCCTCCAGCCTCTTCTCTGCACTTTCTATATTGCTCTTCTCTGCACTTTCTAGAGTCTTTTTTATAATATGATGACCAAAACTGGATGCAGTATTCTAGGTGCGTTCTTACTAAGGCTTTATAGAGTGGTATTAGTATCTCATTTGATCTTGATTGTATCCTTCTGTTAATGCAGTTTAGGATTGCATGGGCTTTTTTGGCTGCTGACACACACTGTTAGCTCATATTTAATTGGTTGTCTACTAAGACTCCAAGATCCCTCTCACAGTCACTGCTATTAAGCCTGGTTTCACCCAGTCTATATGTGTGTATTGTTGAGTCAGTCAATGTTAATTTTTTAGATTAGTTCCTGCAATTTTCTTCCAAGATTTTGAGGAGTTTTGTTCTTGCCTTAATTTTCTCTGGTATTAAAAGGATCCACTAGTTCCAAAGTTTTTGTGATATTTTCATGCCATTAACTTCAGTGAATTGTTATAACGTAAATTGGTATTTGTCTTTTTTTTTTAGCCAAAACTGAACAGAGGCCAGGCATAATAATGTAACGCATCATTACAAGAAAATCTTTGGTCTGATGGAGGCCAAATAGTCCAAAGAGCACAGGGCAGTTGCTGGAAGCAGAGGTGAAGTTTATTTGATGCAACACAAAACACAATAAATATAAATTAAAGCAGATGAAATGCTATAATCCCAAAAGTACATTTCCCACCAGTAAAATTAAAATAATAATTTTCTTTAAATATATGTCTGATTGCAAGCAATTTTAAGTACTAAGGAACCACTTTTGAGTAAGCAACTACAGCTTTGTTAGTAACAGGGAACATTGGAGAACGTTTATTATTTGCTGCATTGTGTTTAATGGACTCCATAAATAGTACCGGCTGCCATGCCAATACTAAGTAAAATGTGAGTTGAAAACCAGTAGAATACCCTGAATTGCAAAACCATTCGCTTAAATTAAAATTACCCTTCATATTGAAACAGCGGAGTTCCTTATAGTTGAGCTATTATCTACTGACTAATATGAAACCCGTAAAAAAACTGTGTGACGCTAAAAGCTAGTAGTGAGATGAAAAGAGAAAGACACAGCAATTGCTAAACTGTTTTCTGGCTTTAGGTTCATTTTAAAAATTGATTCATTTTATTTTCCTATTTCCACAAAAATACTGGATTGTAAGTGGCCAAAGGTATTGTGGGAAGGCCCTTCCTCCGGGCCCCAGAAGAATGCAATAATTTGGGAAATATTAACAAAAGGCAGAATATTGTATTTCCCTAAAAAAGAACTGGAGAAACATGTTTTTAGAGGCAGAAAGCAGCCCCCAGTCTTTCTTAAATACCCACAGCAGACGCCAGCACTTAGGGAGATAAAGAGCTTATTGAAATAGGAAGCCAGCTAACTAGATAGCTCTATTCATAAGCTAAGCAAATACTGCAAGCAGAAATCCATTCAAGACAGGATATTTTGAAACTCCTTACAGCAAAGTTTGACAGCTTAAAAAAGCAGAATGGTAGGATTAGCACAGCAGCCCCTTACCCAAGATTCAGCACAGGACAAAAGCTGTATAAAATCTGTATAAAAATCCTGGCACTCATCTAGCTAATTGTTCAGCTGCCCCAGAACCACAAACCCTGGTGGTTCTGTTCCCCAACAAATGGACCGTCTTTCCAATCAGCCGCTAGCCACCATTTTGTTTCCAGCGTCTTTCTCCCGGCTTGGAACTGAGCCAGATGTCTTTTCATTCCAACAGTGTCTTTAACTGAGAACCATACTCAGGATGTTTGTGTTTTTAAAGACAGAATAACAGAGTTGGAAGAGACCTCAGAGCTCTTCTAGTTCAACCCCCTATACAAGCAGGAGACCCTATATCTGTGATGGCGAACCTATGGCACGCGTGCCACAGGTGGTAAGAGGAGCCCTCCCTGTGGGCATGCGAGCCGTCTCCCAGCTCAACTCCACTGCGCATGCGCTCACTCCTTGTGCCAGCCAGCTGATTTTCGAGTCTATGCCAAACATGAGGGAGATGTGTGCCCATGCGTGGTGGGTGAGGGGGTTGCATGCACATGCATTGGGGTGGCCTTTTTAAAAAAAAAGTTTTGCAGCATGTTTTATTTCCCATGTCCAATCTGAAACATAAATTTGACAAGCCACGCCCACAAAATAAGCCATGCCCACAGAACCGGTAGTAAAAAAAATTTGAAACCCATCCCTGATCTGTACCTCCATAACTGTCTGATTTGGCTCTGCAACCAAACAAGACAAACATAGACTTCAATGGACAATTAGAACTGCAGAAAAAAAACAATTGCAATCAATCTGCCTTCCATCGAGGACCTGCATACTGCATGAGTCAAAAAGAGGGCTGTGAAAATATCTACAGGCCCTTCGCATCCTGGACATAATTTGTTTCAACTCCTACCCTCAAAACGAGGCTATAGAGCATTGCACACCAAAACAACTAGACATAAGGGCGCCCCCCCCCCCCCCCCCCCCCCCGCCCCCCCCCCCCCCCCCCACAACCACACACCACAAACCCAAAAAAAAAAAAAAAAAAGGGGGGCCCCCCCCCCCCCCGAATGCCATCACTCTGCTTAACAACTAATTCCCAAGACACAGTCAGTAGTTAAACAAGACTGATTTACTATTATTCTTCTCTTCCTTCCTAGTATCTATCTCTCCCCATTTATTACTATAAACGTGTTGCTTGTATTTTTCAATTTATATTGTTTTTATTGTTTCCTAGTACAATTTCATAGCTTATTAGTAACCTTGACTATCACTAAGTGTTGTATCTTTTTATTCTGGATGAATGTATTTCTATTCTCCTTGTGTACACTGGGATCTTATGCACCAAAGACAAATTCCTTGTGTGTACCAATCACACTTGGCCAATAAAGAATTCTATTCTATCTCAGCAGTTTCTGGAAGAGCCAAGGCAGTGGGAGATGACAGCTAATAAGCAACAACCAGTACTTAGTGTTTTGTGTGAGATAAAATGCCTTGACTTGTATTCAATCCATGCCCTTTGATGCTGTCAGCGGAAGAAATGTTTGAAAAGCATGAATCACGCTTTCTCGTTTCAGGTGCCTTTTGTATTCCCCTGTACGTGCCCTATGTCCTCACGGGAAGATGGGCCTTTGGAAAAAGCTTTTGCAAACTCTGGCTGGTGATGGATTATCTGTTGTGTACCACATCAGTCTTCAATATTGTCCTGATCAGTTATGATCGATTCCTCTCGGTGACCAGAGCGGTGAGTTCTATTCTAGCTGTTCAAAAGGTTGATAAATGATTTTGATCTGATGCTGCATTCCTCCTCCTCCTCGTCTTCTTCCTCCACTTCTTTGTTTTCATTATCCTGCCCTTTCCCTGGCTTCTCCTCCTCTTCCTCTCTTCTCCTTCTCTTCTTCCTCATCCTCCTTCCCTTCCTCTCCCTTATCCATCTCTTCTTCCTCCTCCTTCCCTCCTCCTGCCTCTCCTTCTTCCTTTTCCTTTCTGTTTTCATTATGTTGCTCTTTCTCAGGCTTCTCCTTCTCATCTTCTCCTTCCCTTGACATCTTCTTCCTCCTCCCTTTCCTTCTCCTTCTTTTCCCTTTCATTATCCCGCCCTTTCTTTTACTTTTTTTCTTCTTCCTCCCTTCCTCCTCCCCTTTTCCCTCCTCTTGCCCTTCCTCCTCCTCCTCCTCCTCCTCCTTTTCCCTTTCATTATCCCACCCTTTCTTTTACTTCTTCTTCTTCCTCCTCCCCTTCCTCCTTTTCCCTTTCATTATCCTGCCCTTTCTTTTACTTCTTCTTCTTCCTCCTCCCCTTCCTCCTTTTCCCTTTCATTATCCTGCCCTTTCTTTTACTTCTTCTTCTTCCTCCTCCCCTTCCTCCTTTTCCCTTTCATTATCCTGCCCTTTCTTTTACTTCTTCTTCTTCCTCCTCCCCTTCCTCCTTTTCCCTTTCATTATCCTGCCCTTTCTTTTACTTCTTCTTCTTCCTCCTCCCCTTCCTCCTTTTCCCTTTCATTATCCTGCCCTTTCTTTTACTTCTTCTTCTTCCTCCTCCCCTTCCTCCTTTTCCCTTTCATTATCCTGCCCTT